TTTGTCAAAGGCCTTCTCTGTATCAGTTGAGATAATCATGTGGTTGTTGTCATTAGTTCTCTTTATATGGTGAATTACGTTTATAGACTTGCGTGTGTTGAACCAGCCTTTGCATCCCCAGGATGAAGCCTGCTTGATGGTAATGGATAAGCTTTTTGACGTGCTGTTGCAATCAGTTTGCCAGTATTTTATTGAAGATTTTTGCATCTATGTTCATCATGGATATTGGCTGAAGTTTTCTTTTCTTGTTGAGTCTCTGCTGGGTTTTAGTATCAGGATGATGTTGGTCTCATAAAATGATTTGGGAAGGATTCCCTCTTTCTGGATTGTTAGGAATAGTTTCAGAAGGAGTGGTACCAGCTCCTCTTTATATGTCTGGTAGAATTCAGCTGTGAACCCATCTGGACCTGGGCTTTTTTTGGTTGGTAAGCTGTTGATTGCTGCCTTAACTTCAGCCCTTGTTACTGGTCTATTCAGGGTTTGGACTTCTTCCTGGTTTAGGCTTTGGGAGGGTGCAAGTGTCATGGAATTTATCCATTTCTTCCAGGTTTACTGGTTTATGTGCATAGAGTTGTTTGTAGTACTCTCTGATGGTGGTTTGTATTTCTGTGGAATCTGTGGTGATATCCCCGTAATCATTTTTTACTGCATCTATTTGATTCTTCTCTTTTTTCTTTTTTATTAATCTGGCTAGTGGTCTATTTTGTTGATCTTTTCAAAAAACCAGCTCCTGGATTTATTGATTTTTTGATTTTTTGAAGGGTTTTGTGTGTGTGTGTGTGTGTGTGTGTGTGTGTGTCTCTGTCTCCGTCAGTTCTGCTCTGATCTTAGTTATTTCTTGACATCTGCTAGCTTTTGAGTTTTTTTTTTATCTTTCTCCTCTAGCTCTTTTAATTTTGATGATAGGGGGTCGATTTTAGATCTTTCCTTGCTTCTCATGTGTGCATATATTGCTATAAATCTTCCTCTAGACACTGCTATAAATGTGTCCCAGAGATTCTGATATGTTGTGTCTTCATTCTCATTGGTTTCAAAGAACGTCTTTATTTCTGCCTTCATTTCATTGTTAATCCAGTCAACATTCAACAGCCAGTTGTTCAGTTTCCATGAAGCTGTGTGATTCTGAATTAGTTTCTTAATCCTGAGTTCTAATTTGATTGCCCTGTGGTCTGAGAGACTGTTTGTTATGATTTTCATTCTTTTGCATTTGCTGAGGAGTGATTTACTTCGAATTATGTGGTCAGTTTTAGAGTAGGTGTGATGTGGTGCTGAGAAGAATGTATATTCTGTGGATTTGGGGTGGAGAGTTCTGTAAATGTCTGTTAGGTTTGCTTGGTCCAGATCTGAGTCTAAGTCCTGGATATCCTTGTTAATTTTCTGTCTTGTTGATCTGTCTAATATTAACAGTGGAGTGTTAAAGTCTCCCACTATTATTGTGTGGGAGTCTAAGTCTCTTTGTAGGTATTTAATAACTTGCTTTATATATCTGGGTGCTCCTGTATTGGGTGCGTATGTATTTAGGATTGTTAGGTGTTCTTGTTGCATTGATCCTTTTACCATTATGTAATGCCCTTCTTTGTCTTTTTTGATCTTTGTTGGTTTAAAGTCTGTTCTGTCAGAGATAGGGTTTTAACTCCTGCTTTTTTTGCTTTCCATTTGCTTGGTAAATCTTTCTCCATCCCTTTATTTTGAGACTGTGTGCGTACTTGCATTTGAGATGGGTTTCCTGGATACAGCACACCGATGGGTTTTGACTTTTTATCCAATTTACCAGTCTGTGTCTTTTGATTGGGGAATTTAGCTTATTTACATTTAAGGTTAATATTGTTATGTGTGAATTTGATCCTGCCATTTTGATGCTTGCTGGTTGTTTTGCCCATTAGTTGACACAGTTTCTTCATTGTGTTGGTGCTCTTTACCATTTGGTACGTTTTTAGTGTGATTGGTACTGGTGGTTCCTTTTTATATTTAGTGCTTCTTTCAGGAGCTCTTGTAAGCCAGACCTCGTGGTGACGAAATCTCTCACCAATTGCTTATTCGTAAAGGATTTTATTTCTCCTTCACTTATGAAGCTTAGTTTGGCTGGATATGAAATTCTGGGTTGAAAGTTCTTTTCTTTAAGGATGTTGAATATTGGCCCCCACTGTTTTCTGGCTTATAAGGTTTCTGTGGAGAGAACCACTGTGAGTCTGATGGGCTTCCCTTTATGGGTAACCCGGCCTTTGTCTCTGGCTACCCTTACCATTTTTTCCTTCATTTCAATCCTGGTGAATCTAACGATTGTGTGCCTTGGGGTTGCTCTTCTTGATGGATATCTTTGTGATGTTCTCTGTATTTCCTGGACTTGAATATTGGCCTATTTTGCTAGGTTGGAAAGTTCTCCTGGATAATATCCTAAAGAGTATTTTCCAGCTTGGATTCATTCTGTCTGTTACATTCAGGTACACCTATCAAACGTAGATTAGGTCTTTTCATGTAATCCTGTATTTCTTGGAGGCTTTGTTCATTTCTCTTAACTCTTTTTTCTCTAATCTTGCCTTCTCGTTTTATTTCATTGAATTGATCTTCAATCTCTGATATCCTTTCTTCTGCTTGGTTGATTCAGCTATTGAAACTTGTGTATGCTTCCTGAAGTTCTCGTGTTTTTCAGCTCCATCAGGTCGTTTTTATTCTCTAAGCCGTTTATTCTCATTAGCATTTCGTCAAACCGTTTTTCAAGATACTTATTTTATTTGCATTGGGTTAGAACATGTTCCTTTAGCTCAAAGAAGTTTGTTATTACCCACTTTCTGAAGCCTGTTTCTGTCAATTCATCAGTCTCATTCTCCATCCAGCTTTGTGTCCTTGCTGGTGAGGAGTTGTGATCCCTTGGAGGAGGAAAGGTGTTATGGTTTTGGGTGTTTTCATCCTTTTTGCACTGCTTTCTTCCATCTTAGTTGCTTTATCTACCTGTGGTCTTTGTAGCTGGTGACTTTTGGATGGGGTCTCTGAGTGGACATGCTTTTGGTAGCTGATGAAGTTATTTCTTTCTGTTTCTTAGTTTTCCTTCTAACAGTCATGCTTCTCTGCTGTAGGACTGCTGGAGGTCCACTCCACACCCTGCTTGCCTGGGAATCACCTGTAGTGGTTGCAGAATAGTAAGGGTTGCTGCCAGTTTCTTCTTCTGTCTTAGTCCCAGAAGGATACCTGCCAGATGTCAACCTGAGCTCTCCTCGATGAGGTGTCTTTGAATATACGGGCATCAGGGAGCTGCTTGAGGAGACAGTGTGACCCTTATAGGAGCTCAAGTGCTGAGCTGTGAGCTCCCTTGTTCCATTCAGATCTGCTGGGCAGGTACACTTCTGGGAAAGTGGGGCTTTATTTATAAGTTCCTCACGTCCTGCTCCCTTTTTTCAGAGATGTCCTGCTTAGCTAGGAGGTAGCCTAGTCACAGTCTGCCAGCAGAGGCATTGCTGAGGTGCCATTGACTCTGACCAGCTGCTGTGTAAATTTCCCTGTGGTTTTGTTTATAGTGGTATAGTTAGAACTGCCTCAGTAATGGCGGTTAGACCATTTTTAATGGGCTCATTAAGTTTTTATTTCTTTCCTATGGAATGTAGAAGCTCCTTATAGATTTCAGAAATCAAACCTTTAATCAGATACATGTTTTGCAGATATTTTCTCACTTTCCTGAAGTTGCCTTTCTCTGTTATTTCCTTTGCTGTACAGAAGTTTTTTTATTTTGATGTAGCCTTATTTGCCTATTAATGCTTTTGTTGTGTATGCTATTGTTGTCCAATCCATGAAATCATTGCTGAAACCAGTGTCATGAAGCTTTTCGCCTGCTTATTCTTTCAGGAGTTTTGTCCAAAAGGATTGAAATCAGGATCTTGAAGTGATGTTACCACTCTCACTTTTACTGCATCACTATTTACAGTAGCCAAGATGAAGAGACACCCTAAGTGTCCATCAGCAGGTGAATGGATACAAAACAATGAAATGTTATTCAGCCTTCAAAGGGAAGGAAATTCTGCAATATGTAACACCATGGTCTGAACCTTGAGGACATTATGCTAAGTAGAATAAGCCAGTCATAGAAGAACAAATTCTGCAGGGTACCATATATATGTTTACATATATGTGTGTGTATAAATATATTTATATATATGTGTGTGTGTGTGTGTGTGTGTGTGTGTGTGTACGTATACACGTATATATATTTATATATGAAGTATTTCAAATAGTGGCTGAACATCATGGCTCACACCTGTAATTCCAGCACGTTGAGAGGCAGAGGCCGGCAGATCACCTGAGGTCGGGAGTTTAAGACCAGCCTGGGTAACATGGTGAATCCCCACTTCTAGTAAAAATAGAAAAATTAGTCCAGCATGGTGGTGCACACCTGTAATCTCAGCTATTTAGGAGGCTGAGATGGGAGAGTCACTTGAACCTAGGAGGCGGACATTGCAGTGGCCAAGATTGCATCACTGCACTCCAGCCTGGGCATCACAGTGAGACTCCATCTCAAAATTTTAAAAATGATAATAATAATAAACTAAAATAGTGAAATTATGGAATTAGAGACTGAAATGGTAACTTAATGGTTGAGGAGAGGGGAAGTGGAAAGTTGTTAATAATCGTAAAGTTTCAGTTAAGCGGAATGAATACATTCTAGAGATCTACTGTACACAGCCAACCATCCTGTGCATTTCAATATTTCTTAAGAGATCTCATATTAAGTGTTCTTATCACAGTATAATATTTTTTCAAAAGCTTGTTCCTAAATAATCACGATACTATTTACACATACACACATGCAGGCACATACATTTCAACATATTTTCTATTCTACATATTTTCAATTGGCATGTGTTTTTACAAATACAAAGTATTGGCTGGGTGTGGTGGCTCATGCCTGTAATCCCAGCACTTTGGGAGGCTGAGGCAGGAGGATCACCTGAGGTCAGTAGTTTGAGACCAGCCTGGCTAACGTGGTGAAACCCCGTCTCTACTAAAAATATAAAAATTAGCTGGGCATGGTGGCAGGCGCCTGTAATCCCAGCTACTCTGGAGGCTGAGGCAGGAGAATTACTTGAACCCAGGAGGCAGAGGTTGTAGTAGCCGAGATCAGACCATTATACTCTAGCCTAAGTGACAAAATCATGTCTGGAAGTTCACATATGCAACTGCTGCCTTTGGAGAAGCTGGAGGAAGAAATAGTACTGTGATCAGATAAGAAGATTGTCAAAGGGACTTTAGCCACATCCATGAGGTTTTTACTTTTAACAAGGAGAATATGCTTTATTTATGTAAACAAAAGATTATTTTTAAGAGAAATTTGTTTGCATGGAGGAGAAACAAGAAGGTGGAAGTTTAATTGGAAAGTATTGTAGTTGTCTGGATTTGAGGCAGTGGGTAGCAGTGTTAGAGATGGAAATGACAAAGAAAATTACGGTGTTTGAGTCAACAGAACATAGTGGAGCAGAAAAGAGAGGCTACAACGAGTCAGGAGAGAGAGTCAGTTGGGTTTTATACACCAAAGTCCTGAGAACAGCTTTTATGTAAACCTCTATCGCTTGCATGTGGATTGCTTTCTCTCGAATAATAATGACCAAATTGGATCAATTAATTTTGTCAGTTAATTACTTGGCCCACAGCTGTGTTAACAGCTTTATGAAACAACCACAAAGAAACCCCTAGACAGTTGATTTGATATTGAGTAGCTACAAGTTTGATCTTGTTTAATTAGAAATAGACCAAATGAGACTAGAAGGTATTTATCAGTACATTGAGTCTGATACACTAAATAGTTCACTACTGACCTGGGGAAGTTATTTTTATGCTATCAAAAGAGAGTAGTTCAAACCCTGGGTGACTTGCATTTAAATACGTCTGGTTAGTACAGAGCCAAAATGCTTAGTTCACTTGCATCCAAGCAAAACGGCATTTATAATATCCTGACCTTTGCATGGCTCATGGGTAGCTCCTTTTCTTTCTGACAGCAGATCCATTTAAAAATACAGTTATTGAGGCCAGGCGTAGTGGCTCCTGCCTGTAATCCCAGAACTTTGGAAGGCAGAGGTGGGTGGATCACAAGGTCAGGAGTTCAAGATTGGCCTGGCCAATCTGGTGAAACCCCATCTCTACTAAAAATGCAAAAATTAGCTGAGCCTGGTGACGCATGCCTGTAGTCCCACCTGCTTGGGAGGGTGAGGCAGGAGGATTGCTTGAACCTGGGAGGTGGAGGTTGCAGTGAGCCGAGATTGTGCCACTATACTCCAGCCTGGGTGACAGAGCAAGACTCTGTCTCAACAACAGCAACAACAAACACACAGTTATTGAATCAAGTTTCCTATGAATTCCATTGGCAGTCTTCTGTTGGCAATACTAAATATAGTTCCCTTTACTTCAAATAATGTAAGATGCCAGATGATTAACCTATGGAAGCAAAGTACTTAATCTTGGGCAAATGAAGGTGATATTTCACAGATGGAATTCACAGATCCAAGCACATTCTGAAATACGATGAGGCAAAATTCCCTGGAGTTTTGCTTTCTGAATTTGTTGGGGAGCACAAGTCCATGGTTTAAATGAGTTCTTTAAAAATAAAAAGTTTTAAGAACTGCTACAGTTTTTTTCCCCCTACAAAATAGGTCATCTTAGCTAATTGAATTGTTCTAAGTGGACCAGAAATTGCTGATTCTGTCATATAAAATCAAAGTTATTCTGACTGGGTGCAGTGGCTCATGCCTATAATCACAGCACATTGGGAGGCCAAGGTGGGCGGATCACAACATCAGGAGTTTGAGACCAGCCTGGCCAATATGGTGAAACGCTGTCTCTATTAAAGATATAAAAAATTACCCAGGCATGGTGGTGGGTTCCTATAATCGCAGCTACTCAGGAGGCTGAGGCAGGAGAATCTCTTGAACCCAGGAGGCAGAGGTTGCAGTGAGCCAAGATCACACCATTGCACTCCAGCCTGGGCAATGGGGTGAGACCCTGTCTCAAAAAAAAAAAAAAAAAAAAAAAAGTTATTCATAGTAAGTCAGTCCTTTAAGGGGACTATGGCATGTGAACCAATTACTTTTTTAAAAGTTACAGTCTGTGATATGTCAAACGTTTCTCAGAAACAGTGTCTAAGAAGAATAAAGTTTTAAGTAGCAAAAGGTTTCATCTGGTTGATAAAAATTCCAGGAGACTTTTATAAGAAGAAAGCACTTGAAATGTCCTTTGTAGAATAGGTAAGAATTTAGACAAAATGATGAAAAATCAAGTTCTCAGTTTAAAAAATAAAAAGGTGGGGAGAGGTTTAACCAGAGTCATGGAGATAGGAAAAGAAAAGTCATCTTCAATAGCTGAAATTTCCAGGGCAAAAGTAGGAGTAAAGCCAAGAAATGAAGCCCTAGTTAAGAAGGCTAAGTCCTATTCAATAGGTGTAAGAATTGAGGCGTTATTTAATGTTTCAGATCAAGTGAATAACATGAAAAGTAGATCCATCTAGTGTGGAAGTAGAAAGATTGGAAGAGACAGGGCCATTTTTTTTGTACAATATCTAGGGTGGAGAAGATGAGCTATTAAGACCAGCTGGGGCTCCTGCAGGACCAGCTAGGGTTTGAAGTAGCTTGTGGCCAAAATCAAAATTACTGCTTCAATTTATTGCCTTTTTCAAAAGCTTAGTTGACATGTGCAAACATAGATGCAAACCCTCAGCATCTGCTGGGCTAAGTCCTAGGAGTATGCATTTGCAATATTCCTTCCCCTAGTAAATGACCTTTATCCTGGTTTGTCCTGGCGCACTCAGTACAAAAGATACAGTTGCAGCCAATCCTAGAGGACAGGAGTGAGTTCCCTCCAGAACTTTTCTGTTCCTTGGCTGTGATCTTTTTTTTTTTCTTTTTTCGAAGCAGGGCTTCACTCTGTTGCCCAGGCTGGAATGCCGTGGTATGATTACAGCTCACTGCTGCCTCCCAAGTACCTGAAACCTCAGGTGCACACCACCACACTTGGGTAATTTTTGTATTTTTTGTAAAGAAGGGGTTTCACTCTGTTGGCCAGGCTGTTTTCAAACTCTTGGCCTCAAGCCATCTGCCCACCTTGGCCTTCCAAAGTGCTAGGATTATAGGCATGTGCCACTGTGCCTGGCCTCTTGGCTATTAGCTTAACATCCTGCCTTGCTTATCACCATAAGACACCCATGAATGTTGCAATTTCCACCTTATCCCTGCTTGGAGACGAGTTGCCCTGTCTTCACCATCCACTCTCTTCTAGCTATCTGTGAAAGATGGGAAAGCTGTTCTTCAAAGTTTATATCTTAGACTACATGATAAGGAGTTAAAATCTCTTCCTGTGTGGCCATTATCCACTATTAGGATAAACATATACGTGTGTGTGTGTGTGTGTGTGTGTGTGTGTGTGTGTGTGTGTACACACACACACACACTCTCTCTCTCTCTCTCTCTCTCTCTAAATCAGCTATGTCTTAAATCAGCTACCTTGACTCTCTCCGACATGTCTAAACAGGACTGGGCAAGCTCCAAACCCTGGTGCATGCCATGCCTTATTTGGAAACCCTCCTGACCTTCTCCTGACTAGCTTCCTCTTCTTCCTCGTCTTCTTTCTCTTTATCTCTTCAGGAAACTTCCAAGATTTTAGCCGTTCAGGTCAAGCATAGACTGCAAGGTCCCATTCCACCCAGTGGAAACTGGACACAGCAGTAGGGCGATTGCTTCAGGTTATGAAAGTTATAAATGTCCCTGTCTCCTTTGTTCAGGTGTGCTCTCGTGGCAAGGCTGCTGGCAAATTGCACCCTTCCTACAGGAAGTAAACCTTGCTGAGCGATCCCTTGTCTCAATGTGGATTTTTCCTGATGTTATAAACCCATTTCCAACACTATCATTTGAAGGATTAACTATATAACACACTCAGGCTGACTAGGAAATAATTGGCCAGAGGGCCAGAGGCCACGTGGAATAAAAAAACTTGCACTTTCTCTAGAAACCATGGCTCTAAAGCCATAGTCTGAGGTCTGTACATCACACCAGCAGCAGAACACAGGCTACTGAGATTATCATCTTGCATGTAGTCATTTGGACAATTCAACAGAAAGAAAAGGAACTGTAGGATGGGAATCTGATTGTGTGCAGAGATTTCCACAAAATCTAGTGGGTTTGCTTGGTGTTCTATAAGAATAAGTGTTCTTTGGGAGGAAATACTAAATCTCCTCTTGTTTAATTCACAGGTGATTATAAATGTGACTTTTTGCTTTTGGCAAACATGAGAAAGGAAAATGCCTATAGAAAATCAGACACCACATGTTCTCACTCTTGGTGGATCTTGAAGAACAATGAGAACACATGGACACAGGGGAGCATCACACACTGGGGTCCATTGCAGGTGGCTGGGGAGGGATAGTGGGAGGAATAACGTGGGGAGAAATGTCAGATATAGGTGATGGGGGGATGGAGGCAGCAAACCACCTTGCCATTAATGTACCTATGCAACAATCTTGCATGATCTGCACATGTACCCCGGAATCTTAAGTACAATAGAAAAAAAAAAAAGTAGGCTAAATATTAAGATCTCAACCCAATTTTATTATTTAGCAGCTGAGCATGTGTTAGATGAGGCCAATATCTTTGAACAGAAACCTTATGTTTGACCCAATTTGATGAGTAGCAATTGATCATGTGAGGTCCAGAGACTCCCCGAGACCTCCACATAATATATGTCCTCCTTAAGAGAACATTACTTTTGAACAGGGTGCTCCAGAGTCTATGTGTTATTTCTAAGATTTTCTGGCTCCTCTGTAATAAGGCAGAATTTTTCATTGTCTGAAGATTCTTTGCTTAATGTTTCGTTTTTCTAGCTAATTGTGTCAGGTACAAAAGTTCCTCATTTAAGAATCTTGATCAGTAAAATGTATGTAGTTGTGAAAGAAAAGGAATCTTGGGTTCCCAAAATCACTAAGCTAAAGGGAAAAGTCAAGCTGGGAACTGGGTCACTTGCCTCCCCTTTTGCTTCCTAAATAAGATGGCTACAAGGTGAAAAGGTACACGCCTCCCCTATATTTTGCCCACAGGGATACCTAGTGAGTTCCTAGCACTTTACTCTAAGGTATTTCTGTTAAAATGTCACCATAGCAGTGTAAACTGGTAACTTATCTTTAGAGGTGCAGTCACCCCCTGCCCACCAGACACAAATGCATGTCTGATTGTTCCCTGTCTAATTTTTGTCTATGGTATCTTATGTAAAAATGTAGATTCGCTGCATTTTTCCTCTGCCGCATTTGTCCATGTCATCTTATATTTTGGAAATGCAGGTTCATAGAGCCAGACAAAGTCATAAGTAACTATTTTCCCGTTTTCTCTACCCACTTCTTACCTGAAAATTGTGTACTTCTCAATATCCTGCCCTTTCCCCTTTAAATTTGGAGACCTCAAAATCATCCTCAGAGAAAGGCATAGACCTATCTCCGGGCACGTGTCCTTAATTTTGGCAGCTTCTAAAATAATGGAGATTGTCTTGTTTTTTTTCCTCAATTGACATAGGAAAGGAGTGGGGGTGGGGGTAGGGGGGGAGAGAGAGAGAGAGAGAGAGAATGAGAGAGAGAACACATCTTGGGACCACAAAACCACTAGGCCAAAAAGAAAAATCAAGCTGGGAACTGCTTAGGGCGTACAAAGATAAGAAGCTACATACCTCCCTCACAATTTGCCCACAGGAAATTCCTTGTGGATAAAGGACAAGCAATTGCTTCCTCTGCCCTATTGGTTATGTAAAAATGCAGATTCACTGAGTCAGACTAAATTGTGTATTCAGTGGAAGGCTAATCAAGGACTCAAAAGAATGCAACATTTGTCTCTTACCTACTTCAAACCTGGAAGCCCCCACTTGGAGTTGTACACTATGGGTGTTATACATCTTACACATATTGATTGAGGTCTCATGTCTCTCATGTGTAAAAGCGAAACTAACCCAACCACCTTGGGCACACGTCATCAGGACCTCCTGAGGCTGTGTCACAGACGGTCGGCAAAATAAACTTCCTAAATTGAGACCTGCCTCAGATATTTGGGGTTTACAGTAAATATGTTACAGGAAAGTGGTCCCCATCCAGACCACTGGATGGGGAAGGTTTTTGAATCTCACACAAGAAAGAAAGAATTCAGGGAAAGTCTGAAAAACTGAAAGCAAGGTTATGAAGGCAAAGAGTAAAGAATGGCTACTCCATAGACAGAGCAGCCCCAAGGCTGCTGATTGCCCATTTTTATGGTAATTTCTTGATGATACGCTAAAGAAGAAATGGATTG